CCCATCTACATACCTGCCCCTTCTCCTGTAGAGAAGAGTGATCCTCGCCCCACAGGAAAGAGTAACACCCACCCACCCCTTAAGCATATGAGGATAGAATCCACAACCTCCCTCTTTAAAAGGCGTGTAGGGTGCCATTGAACCAAGAGAATATTGGTAATTACTGGTCCATATAGATTCGTTGCATAACCAATAATATATCTGCTTTTTCTTCCAGTTTTGATGAATTGCTGGAATTAAGTTATCAGGGGAACAACAGAGTGATAGATATGCTTGTTGGAGATATCTATGGTGGAACGGATTATTCAAAGGTATGACTCGTGAAAGTGTAAGTCCTTTTTCCACTTTTAGGTGATAAAACTAGCATTCTTGTGATTCCATTCTTTGATACATTTTTGTAAATCAGGAATTGCTTTCGGTGGAGAATATTTTCTTTTTGTGGCTGTTAACTGTAATCGTTTCTTTTTATTGATGACAGATAGGCCTTTCATCAACAACAATAGCTTCTAGCTTTGGGAAGGCAATTTCCGATAATAAGGAGATTGAAGATTACAAACCTGAAGATATTGCTCGATCTCTCCTTAGAATGATCTCAAATAATATTGGACAGGTCAGTTATAGCTTGTTTAGTAATGATTAAGTAATGATACATCATAGGCATATGTATGTATGTGTGCAGTAATGAACTAAAAAGGAAAATAATTTTTTGTTTTCACCTTGGTTCGGTTACAAAAAATAAACTAATATGATGACAAGTCCATTTACTGATGTTTTATGTTTATAGATTAATGTGCATGTCTTTTTGGGAGAATTTAATGAAGGACCTTTGAAATGATTTAACATCAAACAAGGACTTGAACAGATCGGATACTTGTTAAAACCTGAACTTTCACTTGTCAATTGTTAATGTTTACTTGTTACAAGTCCTTAGCTAATGTTAAATCATATCAGAGGTCCTTCAATGATATTCTCCCTTTCTTTTTCTCCTATCAAAATTTCTTTTATATATGGCCTTCTATAAATCTACCCGGTATATTTATCTCAGGCTTTGAAATGGATTTTGTTTCTTTATTCCTCTTCTTATTCTCAGATCTCTTACCTAAATGCTCTTCGATTTGGCCTGAAGAGGATTTTTTTTGGTGGGTTTTTCATCCGAAGGCATCCTTTTACAATGGACACAATATCTGTTGCTGTTAATTTCTGGTAAGCACCAAGCAACAAGCAAGACCTTTCTATGTTGCTCATCCTGGCCATTTTCAAGCATGCCTGGAATTTTTGGAAGTTTTCAATACGAAATTCAAGCCAATTTTATTGATCTCTTGCTTGTCCTTCTGGCCAAAATTTTTGGAAAATGGAATGCAAGATTACCCTTCTGATCATTGCAGGTCTAAAGGCGAGGCCAAAGCAATGTTTTTGCAGCATGAGGGGTTTCTTGGAGCCATGGGTGCTTTCATGAGTTCCGATCAGCATGAACTCAAGAAACTACTGGTAAATAAAGAGCTGCAACAAGCTCCCAGCAGTGTAGCCTGTGCTGTTGCTGGGGAATTGCATGGAGATGAAAGCATAGAGTGCTGTGTCTATTCAGCTTAGGCTTAGGTAAGGCAATTCTTCATTGCCTGGCCTTCCACCTGACTTGTGTTTGTAACTTCTGCAATCTGAATCCTGCGAGAACATAACATAGATAAATTTTTTAGTGTTCGTTATCAGTTCTTCAATTTGAATATAACAAGAATTAATGAGTCAGAAAAATCTCCTCTAGTTATGTGTTCATGATGAATCTCATTATATATGCTTATGGAACTGCATCGAAATCTTGTCCATTTTGTATAATGATCAAAAGTTGAAGGCAACTTTGAGACAAATGATTGAATGAAGGCTCACAGGTCCATTCTGTTACGCTAGAATATGAATTCTTTGCGCCAACGTTTTGATCTGAGGTGCCTTATTTAACGAGGATTTGATTCTGAGCATTCACTTTTTTAATCTCTACATTTCTCTTTCTGAACTGTCCTTTTGAACATTTGCAGTACTAAAGTTTATTTATTGTTGGCTGAGAAATTTGTTTTTGTGGTGTGTTGTGAGTTTCCAGCGGGTTGGGTAATTTTTTTGCATAAATTTCCATTTGTTGATTTAATGGTCTATTTTGTTACTAACAAACAATACTGATATATTATTTCTTGAGTGTCTGTAAAAAAAATTTCCTTCATATTTTTTTTTATTTGCAAAATTGGGAATTAAATAATGGGAAAGCATAAACAATTAATAAATTTAAAATTACATATTTTTTGGTGGAAAAAAGTTACATGATTGAGTTGAGTATAAGAATTAAGAAAATTTTATAACGTGATCTAGTCCCCAATCAGTCCAACTCGACCTAATTTTCCCAAACCCAGTTAAATACGACGAGAAATTTGGGCTGAACCACCAGATTAAGTCATTTAGCTTTAAAGTCAACATAACTCAAACCATCTGTTTACCAAAAACCACCAGAAAAAAAAAAGGGAAGGGGGAAAAATTAATTATTTAGTCTATATAATTTTAATTCAATCATAATTATAATTTAATTCTTGAACTTTAACTCATTGACTTGATTTTTATAGTTTTAATTAAGTTGTAACTCAATTTTTAAATTTTATTAACCATATTATAAGAATTGAGTTAAAACAAGCTAAAATTTAGGGTTAAATTATAAGAATTAAATTATTAATTTTTCAAAAAAAAATCAATCCAGAATGCATTTTGAAAAAAAATATTGTCATCACTATTTTAGATCAGGCTCTGAGAGGTCCACGGACATTAGACTTCAAAAATGAAGCCCGATTACTGATCTTGTAATGTGGTTTGGCAACCAGAAAAATAAAATAAAAAAATAAAACGAGATCTCGTAAGGTAATAATAATATCCATCAGGTCATCGCCATTAATTCCCGAAACCTGATTAAATTTTAGCTATACTCCCTTCAGTCTTTCATACAAGGCGTTTTTAAAACAAATCGATCGTCTGATATATATAATTATAAATCGATCGGTTATTGATTATAATATCATATATATCATTGTTCACGGGTTATTAGGAGGAATTAACTTTTTCAAACAGTCCCTCTTCATGATTTATTAGGAGGAGACTTGGCTAATAACTTTGTAGTCTAGTGATATGTAAGCTCTCTTGCAATTCTGCTCGTAATTTCAAGCCATTAGTGTCTACCCCTCTATTTAAAAAAGAAAAAAGAAAGAAAGAAAGGAGACTTGAAGTCTAAGTATGTTCAGACAAAATTAATAAGTCAACTACGTTTCTTAATTCAAGTGAGATACTCTTATTAAGAGTATAAGACATTTTTCTAAAGCAAGAAGTTAAAAAATAGAAGACATTTTAGATCTTTCAAAGTATAATTAATAAGTTTTTTTTTTCAAAAATTCTTAATTAAAGGGTGTAACTGATATGATTTTCTAATTGAGACATATTAAAGGTAAAATTAAAAAGTATGTAATTTTAAAGATAGCTAATTAACTCCTTGAGAGTATAATTCAATCAAATGGCCTTATAATATTGAAATGAGATAAAGTATATCATGTTAACTCAAAACTAGTTTACTTTAATTTAAAATGACAATAATCTTGTGTAGGGTTGTACATGGACAAGGTCTGGTAAGGCAGCCCCTTAACTTGATATCCTATCCTAAATGTCTTTGGACAAGAAAACTGCACTTAAAACCCAACATTAGCCCAAGATGTCCATTCTTAGAGGGGTTAGGTGGTAAGGTCAAATAGGATTGTGCATCTTGAGTTAGATGTCCAGTCCTACCATTTTTTTGGGTATTTGAAAGCTTTTTATTGGATCAAAATATATCAAGATTGGGCTCATAGTAGCCCCTAATAAACCATGTCCAACAATAAATAATGGGCTCAAAATATACTTGGATTTTAAACAAACTAGCAACAAAGTATAAATCATTTTGATTTTAACCAAAACAAAACAAAAACAATGATCTAGCAAAGAAAACAACAAACCAGCAACAAATTTAAGCTTTAAATAGAGAGTAAAAGAAAAGTAGAGATATGCAGATTACTTACCTAAGCTTTGAAGAGATGAGCCAATGAACTCTATTAAGCTCTAAAATCTAAAACTACTAGTCCATTGACACATGAGACGAACGAAGCTCAAATAGACCTACCCTCACTGAAGACCAGAGGCAAGCTTTAGCAAGAGAGAGTGATGATCAGAGATGAGCTCAAGCAAGATAGGCAAAGAGAGGCAAAGGAGAGCTGTAAATTGAAAATGTGAGAGTGAGTGAGTTTGAATCTTTTAGATGTGAATTAGAGTTTTTCAAGGTTTCAATATTTTAATTTTTCATTTATACCTCTAGCAATTTACAAAACAATATCGTATAATATTATTTAAAAAATAATAATTATTCCTTGGATTGAGCAGGGTAAATTAGTTAGACATCCTAACTTTAAACTTTGTCCAACCTAAATATTAGCCTTAGCCCGACTGTGTCCAATTAGTTTCGGGCTAGATTTTAAAGGTTGGAATCATGCCTAACTAGTTGCTGGTGCATGCAAGCACGTGTATGGTACGTTGTGCACACGTATACGCAGCCATGTATATGCATGTGAAGGAGTATATCAAACAACATTTGCTGTTGGCTTCTCAACTCTACATCAAATGAATATTGAAATCCAATCTAGTTGAGTTTTATTATTGTTATTATCCGCCACAGTACTATAACTTTTTGTATAAAATATAATATAATCTATAATCATAAAATGTTACATAAATATATATATCTTTCGTTATTAGATGATATATTAACAGGACAATAAATGAAATGCAAATAAATTTTTTAGGAAAACCATTTTGTTAATACTTATAGTTTTTCTCAATTTCTAATCTGGTACCTCTAATTTTTTCCCCCCTCCTTTTTATTCTCACCTTCAACTTTCCACCGTTAAAGACACTAGCCCCTGTAGATTGGGAAATTGGGTAAGGGGGGACGAACAGAGGAATAGATGAGGTTAAACCAGAAAATAGAAAATGATCCGAAGGCTTCGTGTGCTGGGGTAGGGAGGTTCAAGATTTAGCGAGTGATCTTCATGTGTGATAATGGGCGATCTCTAATCACCATAAAGCATGCAAATCTTTGTACGACAAGCCAATCTAAGTTCACCAAAGAGTGGGGTTGCAATCTTCATTGATTTGGTGCCTTTGTTTATTGGCATAGCTCCTCGACATTGTAGAGAAGCTTAAGTTGGAGCGTGAAGGCCGAAGCAAGAACAAGGAGGAGGAGGAGAGGCGACGGTGCTGCAGTCTGAAGGCTCAAGCAAGAACGAGAAAGCGTAGAAGTGACGGTGCGGAGTGGAGACTTGAAAGGCTACGCGAAGAATTTCCTCATTAGAGGTACCAAATTAAAAATCGAGGGAAACTATAGATACCAACAAAATGGTTTTCCCTAAAAATTTTCATAAAATTAAATTGCATCATTAGTTACTCTGTCAAATAACTTAAGGCATCTAAAGCATTTTTTTGCCCCCTCCCTTTACTTTCTTTTATAAAGAGAAACATTCTCTTTTCATGCTAATAATCCTTTCGCACATTTCTTTTGAATCTCAAACCGACTTCTTGAAATATCTCCAAAGTCTGTACACCCAAAGTGATCTCAAACCTAGCTAGGTTTTGTTATTTACGTTTCAGAGCTGAGATTCATATCAAACGCAGGAATCTGATACATGAAATTTAACTTCCAGAGAAAAAAAATAATAATTTGCCTAGAAAATGAACAAATGAATGATAATTAAAGACCATTAACTAATACTAATAATAATTAAATTCTAGTAAGTGAAATTTCTCTCAAAAAGCATAAAAATGAACAATCATTCGTGCTCCCTAACGCTATAACTATTTTTTCTTAGATAATGATGTTTTAATCTAATAGTAACCATATGATGTATAAGTGGTAATTTATTTCTATGAACCTTATATGATGTTTGTAAATTGTAACATGAAAATGTCCGTTTGGTAGCAAGGAATTGAAGGGAGGGAAGTGAAAGTGGAACCCAAATTTGGACCGTTTGGTTTGCATATGAAGAGACTTATTTTCCACCAAAAATAATGGAACTGGGTTCCATACTCAAACCCAAGGAACCAGGTTCCACTCCCTTAGAAGTTCATCGCTTGACCATTTTGCCCTTTCACCCTCTCATTTTGAAACAATTGATGGCCTCCATAGCCGACCTCTGCAGCTGCATGCTCAACGGCGACTTCCACAACCATGCTCGGCGGCGGCGGCGGCGACGTCGAGCGACCAAAAGAAGCATGCTCAGATAACCTTGACAATATGCTCCAGCTCTAGATCGATGAACTAGCAACGACGATTTCCCACCAGTGATGGCGTCGCCCATGAGCATTTCTACTACCCCTCCTTCTTCAACACTTTTTCTTTGCTTGAGATTTTGATTATTTCTCCCTCGATTATTGTTTTCGATTTGGGGTTTTGATTCTTGATTGATTGTTGTTGAATTTTTGCTAATTTTTTGTTCCTGGGTTTGACAATGGTTCATGATTTGATGGTGGAAGAGATCTTGTTGTGAGAGGGTATTTTAGTATTTTCATATTATAAATACACATTTTTATTCTATTTCACTTCCTCTTCCATTCTCACTTCCATCAAAACTCTTGCAGGCTATCAAATAAAGCATAAGGGATATTAGCTAATTTTAAGAAGCATAAATGTTATCTCATTTCCGGAGTATTCAAGAGAAATTTTTATGAATGAAGTCTTCAATTGTCATTAATAAAAGTTTTGGGTTTTTACTGTTATTTTCTCAAATTTGATGTTAGCGATTCCTTTGTTGTCCAGTAAAACTGAAAAGATTTCAAGCAGTTCCAGAGACAACAGATGCTTTCAGCAGCTTTAACAAATAATGTTCTTCCAGCTTCTGTATTGGAATATTTGGCCAAACTGACATTTAAAAAGATGTACCCATTTGGTAGTTTTAGCAGTTGAATCAAAATGGAAGAAATTTACCAACAAAGGTTTATTCAACTTATTCAATTTATACTTACAAGAGTCTGAGTTTGAATCGAACTATCTGATATTAGGACCTTACTATTGAGTAATCTATAACCTTTTTTTTTAAATGGAAGAGTAATCCATAACCTTTATTAATGCACGCTCTTTAAACTATGAAATCTACTTTAGTATTATTGATTTCTCAAAACTTTAGACATTTTTTCACTAAAACAAACAATGTAATATCCCTTGGACAATGTAATCTCGTAAGTGGATAAAAATATATTGAGTGAACTGTCCCTATTTGAACTGCGGAATGCGCAAATTTGAATATATGATAATAACAGAGGATATTATAATTGCGTTTATCATAAAATGCACTATTACTCTATTGATAAAGTTTTAATTTTTTTCCCTTAATTATCAATGGTTTTAAAATCACTCCCAAGTCACAACTCAACTCTATCCAGCAGATTCCCTCTCCCTTTGAAAAGAATAAAGGAATAAAGGAGACAAGAAGACATAGCGACCCTATTAAAGCGATAAGATCATAAGATTGTGCTTGGAAGTGGTGCTGCATGATATTTTATGCACAGATCCCTATATTAAAACCACGATCTCTCTGTCTTTTCTTTCACAAATTTCGGAGAAGCGCTTGACCCAAGAATTGATAACTGGCATTATAGCCCATCGTCCACTAAAACAATCTCATTTTCATATGGATGCTTTTGACCCTCTTCACAACTTAGACTCGTTGCTGTAGTTTGCAAAATGAAATAAAACCTGATTAGTTGAAGCAGTTAAGCAGAACTATCATCAAAAACTAGGAATACTGAACAAATTCGTTAGAGCTTGTACTGAGTATTTAGTGATCACTTACTGCCAGTAATATTTGCTGCAACAAAAGTCCCTAATAAACCAAAGTGACTGATACATTGTATGCTCTAAATATTTTATCACTTCTACTCTCTATATAGTAACATAGAGACTATCTTATTCCAATGATTCAATGGGAAAACCCCGGTTATCAAAGGCTGCACTTTTATGGGCCATGAGAGATTATAAGGTTTAAGAGCTCCAAAATCCTACTTTCTCTTATTACAAAGCAATTACAAGAGCCAATGACTCTTCTGCTGTAAAGAACACAGAGAATATCTTTTGGTTGTCTCTCTTTATTAAAGAAAGTAGGTAGGTTCCTCTCTTCACTCTTTTTTGAATTCAAAAATCCTACTTCCTTGAAACCCATTATACTCAACCTCTTCCTCTCACAGGCAATCAACCTACCAGCTTGCTTCATGAGTTAAACCCAAACCTTCCTTTCTCTGCACTCACAGAACAAAGAGTTTCAGAGCCAAACAAAGCCCTCAAATCCAACATCTCTGCTGTATTCCAACCTTTTACCAGGATGTCTTTTCAAGTTCAACCTCAGCAACCTGTTCAAATTTACCCGTATACTGCTGTTTCAAGCCCTCCTCCTTATCATTCAAATGGGTCTTTTGGTACAGTTTTTATAGTTCTGGCTGTGATAGTTGTCGTTTCTGCTATAGCTTGCTTTCTGGGGCGACTCTGCAGCCGCCGCAGCAGTCACAAACACATCCACAACCAGAAACCTCCTAAGAACCAAAAGCAAAACCACCACAACTTCCGGCCAAAAGAAGGAGATCTTGAAATTGGGTTTGACAAGAGAATCGCCAGTTCCAAGCCCATTGAGCTTGGGCATGGACATGGGTATAATATGCATGGGCATGGAAGAGGAAGAGGAAGAGGAGGAGGAGGAGGAGGAGGCAGAGGAGGGTCCAAACCACACTTTAATGGTGACATGAAGGGTTTTGATCTGAAGATTGGTCATGATGGGGAGCTCAAGGCCGGCGTATGATGGTATCGAAAGGGGGAAATATATATACACTTAGTGCCAAATTATGGCGTTGTTATATTGTATTGTGTTACTGTTTTTATCTTCTCTACTCTTTTAGTCTGTTAGATTTGCAGCTGCCAGTTGAAATGTATAACCATACATGGTTTTGTAACGTGCTGTACTGTCTCAGTACATTGGAGCTACTTCTGAAACATTCTAATACCAGAACTAGTCTTTAAAAAGGCAGGACCTTCTACTTCCGAACATGGCTTTGCCTTTCACACCAAGGATGTCGAAACCTTGTTCATTCAACAAAAGAAAATGAATGATGATTTTTAGTCATATAACTAGCCACGCTCCTTACTTTTGCTTCCTTAGGTAATGTTCAACAGGCAAACAAGTCCAAGATGGGTCAGTAATCCTTGTGTCTTGATATTGTTTTTGGCCAAGAGTAAAGGATGAGAACTGAAGTTGGAACTTCGACTTGAGATGTATGAATACTGGCACGAATGAAAAATATGATGCAATCAAATATAATGCCCTTATACAATTTAAAGATTTAGATAGTGTTTGACACTGGAATTATACTCAACTACAACCCCTTTTTCCAATGAATTAGATGAGTGTATAAACCCAGAAACTTACTTCCTCATATACTTTTGGTTGAATCCCATTTGGTTGATGGACAGAGCATTAATTCTTAAAGACCAACTTTTTTTCTGGCCAAAGAACTTCTTAAAATGCAAATGACTACCCAGGAATTACGGGATCAAATAAAATAACTTCGAGAGAACAAGGAATTGCTGTTACATCGCTTCATGCGGGAATCCTTTCTCCAAACACTGACGGTTTCAACATTAAGGTCAAGTTTGTTTAGTGGAATGGAACTAGAAAGCAAGAAAATGGAATGGGGAATACAGACCAAAAGAAGCATAAGATAAAATATTCTAAGCGAGACCTCACTGCCAAAAAATGAAGCAATGCTCCTTCCTTCAATTTTCATTCTCGCTTGAATCCGGTGAATTTTGGTACCGATCTATTCCTTGATCTGTTTTTATCATGAATTTGCACAATTTTTCTGAATTTGAGTGAGTTGCGATCCGTGGGAAGATGAATGGTGTCGTCTGGTCGAGAACAGCAGAAGAAGAACTGGGAGAATTGGGGAATTAAAAAGACGGTTGAAAGCATTTTGCCTTTTACTGTTTTTCTGAACGTTACTTTCATTTCATCAAATATATATATATATATATATAAAATAATAAGCCCTAACATTTTGACATTTTCACTCAAAAAAAGCCCTCACTGTAAAATCAGCAGCAATGAGTCACTGTCTCAAATAATTTAAATGGATTCCAGAGGTGATGCAAGCATCTTCTCGATGAACAATCTATAATATTTTTGTAAATGCTTTTAATTGGGAAATATGCCATAATTTTGATGAGTTCTACAACTTAACTCACCTAAATAATTTTGTAATAAAAAAAACTGAACAGAAGTCATTTAATAATGCCCTTTAAATGTTTTTTTTTCCTACCAAATTTCTGAGCAAATATTTTACGAAAAATCTTCACACCTCGTTATCATTGAAGGGGGGAGGTGGGGATTGAAAAGTTTTACCTGAAGCTAGTCCTTTAATGAAGACAACTTAATACACTGAATAAAATATAATTGCAATCATCAGTTTACGTTAATCATTACACATGTAGAAGAACAAAAAGGTTTTTTTTTTTTTTTTAACAAGCTTCGCGCGCCCCCAATACTGAAAAAAATGGGGAAATAGAATAAAAATCAAAGAAAACCAAAGGTCGGCAATGCATTTATACACTAAGTCAGTGGTTAGTGCAAGCCTTAGATCGTTTTCATTCATGCATTCATGCATCCGGAGAGAGGTGACACAAGGGAATGTGACTTGGTATAGGGTCCTGATTTCATGACGATTCATGTTTACTATTTTCTCTCTACCTCTCTAATTCACAGAGGATCCAGCAAAGGAAGGGGGCAGTCATACACTTGATCTTTAATATTTTGCCTTGATGCCGTAAATCCATTAAAGGAGTTTGGTAGACTTGGTAGTCAACATTTCTGCTTCTCCATCGTATGCCCACTGCTCCCACCTTTGCTGAAAGCTCGAGCCGCCTGAACTATCCTAGGCACATGTGTGTTGGATGCCAGATAATTCACTCGAACTGTATTCTTCATCATGCAAATCAAATTCAGAACTGCTAAAGCTTACACCATTCATCATCCTAAATCTCATAATTTCTTTATCATACTGTCCAGAATCATAAGCAGTGCTCTGACCATATTTCAATCCGTTGGATAGGTCAATTAGTTCACTTCCACTATCTAAGGCTCTCACGACCTGGTCAGAACCAAGAGGTCAGGTTGTAAGCGTTGAGAACGGACAAAATTGTGTCTAAATGTGACAGTTGCAGACTTGACAGATGAAATATAAGTTTGGAGAACCGTAATAGCTGTTTCTAGTTTTTCTAATACCTGAAGCATCCGGGGCCGTTTTAGAGCAGAGTGGCGAACACATGCTGCAGCTGCGTCAATCATTCTAAGCACTTCTTTCTCCACATAATGATTTTCAAGCCTTGCGTCTATTAATTTGCTAAAGTCACCAGTATCCACTGCATGAATGAGATGAGGTCTAGCCTGCAAATAAGTATCGATCTTAGAAGTCTATGTTACTTGAATTGAATCACAAGACCCTAACATGAATCACCAGTTGATGATGCGTATGTGTCATCATCTTCTTACATGAGGGAAAATAAGACCTTCAAAGATTGGTTTATAAAATATTCACAATAAATAAGAGCTTGCTTAAACGCTACTACAATGGGTTTAGATGATTTCAACTCTTAACTTCTAGTTTGGATGATGGGTATGTCCCACTGGACTCCTTCCAGTAGGGTATTATTTGACAGGGAAGTGCGTCTTTAACATGGTCATTGTAAGTTATACTCAATTGAGTACTAGTACAAGACGATCTCAATTGGCCTATGCGCATATAAAGTCTCTCTCGAGAGGGTAAAAAAAAAAAAAAAAAATTGCTCAGATATTAATGCTATTTCAAGCTGTATTTAAAAATATTATGAACTTGCATGCTCTAATGAGTTAAAAGACCTGAATATGTTGCCGTAGACCCAGAAAATGTGCAATTGCTTCCCAGAAAACACACACAAACTACTACAAAAAGAACTTTGGTTTGCTACAGTTGTCAAAAACATGCTTTTAAAAAATGGCATATTATGCCCCAGGGTAAGAATGCGTGGAAGGATAATGGTTTTCAGAGCATAGTTTCATCATCATCACTGGATAGAAAGGATATGGGGGAACAAAAGAACAGAAAATGTCATATTTCCTAGTATATTTCGATGCAAAATAAAGAAAAAGGTTCATTCATACCCACTCAACCAAACTCTCTTCTCCCAGTGGCTGAGTTTGATCAACAGGTTTCCTTCCAGTCAAAAGCTCTAGGAGGACAACTCCAAAGGAGAAAACATCAGATCTATCAGTTAATTTTCCACTTGTAGCATACTCTGGAGCCATGTACCTACAAAGCGAAGTTGGAATTACTTGTACAATAAGATCAAGAATTGGGCGCATTAGAGTTGGGTTTCTAGCAAATACATTCATTATTGCACTTCTATACTATGTATCGCAATAAGTTTTGCTGTAAAATCAAATGTTAAAAGCTTGGCTGATTCGTGAGGTTCAATACTACTTTACATTCAAATTGACAGTAATGAAGTATAATTTTGCAGATATAATGTTTCAGTCATTAGCCAAAGTCATATCATGAGAAGTAAGTATCAAAAGTACCATCGTCCTGCAAAATTCTAGAAACCACCGATCTCTTCCATTTTATCACGTGTTTTTTCCTTCCTTCCTTCGGTCCTTCTTTCTTTCTTTAAATACCCCAAGGTATTTACAATTCAAAGTAAGTTGCAACTCACAGAAAATAATGATACATTAGAATCTATGGCTGTGTTCTGAGAAATGAACCCTACCCAAAGGTTCCCATGACCCTTGTTGATACATGAGTATTAGCATCATCTGTTAGCCTCGCAAGTCCAAAGTCTGAAACCTGCGTTAAAACAACATCAAATTGTATCGAATGAAAATGCATTAAGAGACATCAACTCTTGGCTAACCACTATATAACGGTTTCCGAAAGGAAGCACAAATTGAAGAAGAAAATTTGAGTATATAATACCTTCGCCACATAAGCATCATCCAAAAGTATATTTGCTGACTTTATATCTCTGTGGATAATCTTTGGCTGGCCTAGAAATAGATAAAACGCTACAGTTGGCTTTCAAAAGCAAATTTAAAAATTTGCAATGACACGAGAAAATGCTTAGAAGAGAATTTATGCTTGAAAAAAGAAAAAAATACACCCGCATGGCAACAGTCAATATCTCTTGCTTCATGTTTTTTAAAAACTGGACCAACATGTAAGAGAAAAATCTCGGAATATAAGACCACAGATGGATAAAATAAGGTGGCCCAGAACTTTTAAGAGCGTTATTTCAACCTCAGGATAACATTAAGAATTGAAGGCAAAACGTAAGATCCCCTAGGCTGCCATATGGGCATTTTCGTCCATTCATACTAATATCTAGCAATTCATCAAATATCAGCACAATTCAAGAGATGGAATGAGTAGACAACCACAAAAAGCACTGTTGTCTTTGGCCTAGACTCTGGGTTGGCATGGATATTTTGGAACCATGTGTCCTTACAAAATGACAATAGCACAACTGTTTTCAAAGGATGATTCTGTTTTACTGTAAGAATTTATGAAACCAATAAAACAAAGGCAAGATACACTTACAATCCTCATGCAGATATGCCAGGCCTCTTGCAGCACCAATTGCTATCTTCACCCTCATGGCCCAATCCAACACAAGCATTCCCTTTCCTGCCCGCACATACAAACAATCCACCCATTAGAATCATGGATTCTTAAGTTAGAGAGAATATAAACACATTTTGTAATGATGTATGAAAAAAGCAATAAAAAAAACTCACATTACCATGCAAGTGATGATCGAGCGTTCCATTGGGAACAAACTCGTACAGAAGAATCTTTTGTTGCTCAGATATGCAATAACCAACTAAGGATACCAAATGTCGATGATGAACACGGCTGATGATCTCCACTTCTGCCTTGAATTCCCGATCGCCTTGCCCGCTGCCTGCCTTCAGCTTCTTGACTGCTACTGCTCTTCCATCCGCGAGCCAACCCTTGTAAACGCATCCAAATCCCCCTTCTCCTATAATGTTTTGACTAGAGAACCCCTTTGTGATCTCTACAATACTTTCATAGCTAAAAGCTGTCTGAGCACTCATGGGCTGCACTGACTCTGAAGTTCCCAAAGGTTGCACACTTGCCATTTGACTCCCATTTTTGTACTGGTCATCTTGCAGGGGCTGCAGTCCGTAGCAACGCCAATCTTCACCTGATGATCAAAACCAAAATCATTAGAAATTAAGTCCGATGCACAGGCTTAGGCATGCAAGAACTGGCCGCTTACTATACCTGCTTTCACATTGGGCGGAATGTGAGATACATCATGGACGGCCCCTCGTTTTCTCTTTCTTACTTTTGCGACCAAAAAACATAAACCAACAAAGACAACGATGCAGACGCCGGCGAATGCAATACCCACATATTTTGCTGCATTACCGTCGCTGCCATTGCCATCGTCACCTCCTGACGTTGACGGCACGGAGTCGTTAGAAGAACCCCTTGATCTTGTATTTGAGCCAGTGTTAAGTCCTGGTGAGTGGGGCGGTGAAGGATTATCTGAACCCGATTCGATACCCTCTTCAACCTGCGTTTGTGGTGGCGGGGCGCTTTGTATCAACGATGGGAAAAGGACACTGACAAAAGGTTGTTGTGGTGGTGAATTATTAGAAGAGTTATTCGAAGAAGACGGGTCTTGTGAATCTGGTGATGATGCTGACTGTTCAGGGGGACTGTGAGAGAGATTTTTCCCATTACTCGATAATGGCGGCGTCGGTGGCGACGGCGAAGAGGTGGGAGGTTGCGAGAGTGAGGAGGGTGGTGATGGTGGTGGTGGTGGAGGTGGAGATGGTGGTGAATGAGGCGATTGCCTCACCGATGAACGGGGTGGTTGCGTTACCTCTGGATTCGGCGGTGGTTTTACCGGTGGAGGAGGCGTTAGCGGTGCTGGCGGTGATTTCTTAGAATGTGATTCTTTAGGTGATGGTGAGCTTGGCAGAATCGGGGTAGTCTGAGACGGCAATGGTGGTGGCTTAGATAAGGAGTTTGAATCATCAGAGTTCGGTGGCGGAGCGTCGTCCTTTTCCGAACCCTTTTCCGACCTTGAAGGGGCGGATGCCGAAAGTGACTTTTTATCTTTCTGCGTGAGGATCTCCAAATTATTGTCTGATGTTGGACGAAGCGATCCTTCCGGAGACGGCGAAACGTTGTTCGTTTCCTCACTAAAATTCATTTCTATTTCTATCAGAATTTGTAATCTCAGGGCGACTCTCAGAATGAGAAGCAAAGGGAACGCCCCGTTGTTTTCCCAGAATCAAAGTCAAACAGATGAGAGATAATGATATGAAAACTATTTCTGTAAGCCAAAGTTTCGTTATGCAAATCAAAACACAAACAATAGGAACGACGAGAATGAACTTTCGTCGTTAGGAACATGAAGCTGGAATGGCCAGAACGATACAACGGGTTGACAAGGAAGAGAGTGTGCGCGATTGTGCTTAAAATTGAACGACTTTTTTTGAAAAAGAAATTTGAAAAAAAAAAAAAACTATTAGCGTATGGTAGCAAAATCCAGAAACCCTGAAAAAAGTCCATGCGATTTTTTGGCAAGAAAAAGAAGGTAGTTTCCAGTTTGGACAGAGATTCTGTGCTGCTCGTCCTTGAATTTCGGGTTACCGCGCAATGAGAACTGGGTCAAACTTCATAACGGGCCACGTCACTGTTAAAAGTTCCGGATCTTCTTGCTTGACCCGATTAGTTTTCCATGCATTGGCTCTCGCCTTTAAATTATGTGAAGTTATTTTGATAACATTGACATTTATTTTCATATACTTTTACTATTGATACATTGATTTTTCTATAGATTTCTCGCTCACAATTTTCTTTAATAAACTCACTTTTTAAATACTTGAAAAAATTACAAAAAGATGAAAAAATTTAGAGATTCATGTAAATAAGTGAAATATTTAAAGATTTGTATAAATAAATGAAGGGTTAAGATGATATTTAAATACCATTAACTTTATAAAAAAGGTTAACACTTCCCAATTTGTGAAGTTCTAACCTTAGAACTAAACAATTAGCACCGATTTACTTTAATGAATTGGAAAATATATTTTTATATAAGATTAATAGATATCATTGTTGATTTAAGAATATTAAAAGCTAGAAAAAAAATTGACTATTGTTGCACCTTGACCCATGAATGAAATAAAAGGAAGATCATCTAAATTAATCTATTCTAAAGTCTTGTATTTGATTCCTAAAATATTTAACTACGTTAAATAAAGGAATCATGAATACCTCCAAGACATTTATGAGTCCGTTGTTAATTGGAGGTTTGGAAAGGGACACAGGCAAAGGCAATGTTGCACCCTATGTAATTTTTCTTAATTGAACAACTTTTATCTAATTTGTTGTTCACAATTTTCTTTTAACACAATTTATATCTTATATTATTCTTTCATACACTTCTTTTATTGTAAGAACGTTTCAACCACACATGATATATTTACATTTTCATCTTCCTTCACCTTATTTGTTTCCTTCTTCAATGTGTGTGATTTTTTTTTTATATCAAATGCGTTCATGCTCATTTTTAAAGTTTGGATTCTGTGCTTAAATTTAAAGACGACGCAAGAAATTTATATCTTTCTTTGAATCGTTCGATAAGATTAGAAAGGTCCGATTTGTTAAAAGAGTTTTGATATCTGGAAAGATCAAAATGGTCCAATTCATTTTTTTCCCCTTTGCTTTTCAAGTTTCCAGACTTCCTTTGGGTTGTTGATGAAGCTAAATGTAACCTCCCCCACCAGAATGATTTAGTTTGGTAATTTTCTTCATTATTATTATTTAGATTTACCTCAAGGTTTAAGAAAATCGTGCTTTTTTTTTCTTGCCTTTAAATTATTCAACATTTGAAGGAACAGAAACTAAATTACGAAATAAATAATGAAAGATTACCTTTGCACATATTTAGTTGAGATCATGTGTGCGCGCGCGCACCTTTTTTTAAATACACTATAATATTTTTTTTCTTGTTTTGCATAAATAGTTGGTTAGCATTTGAGAATTTTTTACAACTTCCTAATAAGTGAGGGGTTGGGATTTTGTACTATACCAAAATATGACAAAATAACCCCTAGTGTGATACGTCAAGAAAGGGGGTCCCACATGTTCACATATACATTCTCATTTTACTAAAATATCTAAATACGCGCCATCAGACATACGAGGATGTGGTGGCATCATCTTAATCAAGGCCAAGTGTATATAGTCGGGTGGTGATGGTGATAGCGGCAGGAAGGGCGGAGACAGCTGCACAAACGGTGGTGGCATGAAGAGTGATGGCGATGCCGCAATGGTGGCATAGTAGCAGTAGGTGAGGAGGTGATTAAGGTTAGTGTCAACGAGGGTATTAGCAGTAGTGGAGCTAGTGAGGGCCCGAGGGGTGTGAGGGCGAGCGTGATACGATTTGATCTGAAATAGCTGGTGGTGGACGGGGGTGGAGAGGAATCACGACCTTCTATAACTTTTTATTTTTTTAATAAAATATAAAGGTTATATATTTTCAATCCTTTAAATTTACACATTATAAAAATTTTAAAATATTAGATAAAATTTTTATTTCAATTTATGATAATCTTTTATGTATTTACAATTCAACTATTTTAATAGTTTGAAAATATAATTGTTATAGGGTTTACTTATTTTTAACAAGATGATGTTATAGTTGTTTTCAAAGCATTGATATCATTTAATTTTACTTTTATTTTATATTTGATTAAAAAAATTATGAGAATTATTGTTAGTAAATTTTGTCAAGCAAGGCAATAAAAATTTCAAGATATATTAAATTTTATGTGTTTGATATTTGTCATAAAATTACTTATCTAAAAGTCAAGAGATTATGGTTAAAATGTGTTTTTTTAGAGGAAAATTACTCTTGTCGACAATAACCAAATTATTGAAATTTATTATATGAATATTTTTTACCATGCTATACTTATATCTTATCAACATAAAGAATTTGTGACAATTGCATCATCATCACGTTAATATATTTATTTACTAAAATTATTAATTATTAAAAAAATTAAATAGTAAATTTAGTAAGAAGTAATAGAGTTTTTTATATTGCACAAAACTTTAGATCATAATGATACATTCAAATTATTCAATGCTCATTGAGAAGATGAAAGCTTCACTAATTTAATGATAGTTTATGTTGAGAAAAAAATTATTAAAAATTTCATCATAGATATGATAATTAATTATTCTTATGTCACAAAAAATTAATGAAAAAAACTTAAAAAAATGAAGTTATATATTTATTTATTTTGTATGTGTGTGTGTGAAATTGAATATAAATATATACGTTAAAATATTTATATTATATTAATAATATGTATAGATTTAATTTTATTTTGATTATCATATATATTTTATTATCTTAGCTCCCTTAATAAATTTTTTTGGCTTCGGCCTAAGTGGCCGAGGATCCCAAACAATTTTAAAGTGGATGCAAGCGTCCACTGTTACTTTAGCCAGTCCATAATTGAGCACTGTAATTATTATCTAGTTGATTTTCATGACTATCATCTTGATTGGCATTTGGACATATTACGAAAGTAAATAAATGAGAATTTCTTTTATTAAAATTATTAACAAGATAACATATTTCAAGCTAATAATGGTGCTAATTCAAATACAAAAGATTCACATTTTTTAATACAACCACTAAATAGTTGAGGGCATAATAAACATAAATAAATAATGACATTGAGCGAAAAGTGCTAAAAACTAATAATTGTTGCATGATGGGAATACACATTTTCATATTAACTATATATGTAATTATATTTTTCCATAAGAAACCATGCAAGGACATCCCTTACGGTGAATTCACAAGAAGGTTTCCTTCCCTAGATCTTCTTTCCAAATAAAAATTTTATTAAATTTATTATGAATCTTCTTCTATAAAAGAATTCTTATATAAAAGGAATTTTCTTGAGAAAATTGTAATAGCCCTCTGGGTCACCACTGACTTTTCAAGGTCTTTTCCCAACGCTAGACAACACACATGTCACCACATGATTGCTGGCTTTCTCACTGGTGGTACAGTGGTTATTCATCACCCCACCCTCACGGGGGCCTTTTGAAGTCTGGTACCATTGAGTCAACTTGACTCAGTGGTACCAGACTTTGCCTCAACTTCGCTAAGGTGGTAGAGGTTGGAGGTTCAAGTCTGGGGAGGTTCCAAAATACCTCCGTGAGGGTGGGGTGAGGAATAACCACTGTACCACCAGTGGAAAAGCCGGCAATCATGTGGTGACATGTGTATTGTCCAGCGCTGGAAAAAGACCCTAGAGAGGCAGTGGTGACCCAGAGGGCTATTACAAAAATTACATGTGATTATATCACAGTAATAATTTTATTCATACCAATAATAATATCAAGAATAAATATTGCCATGGTATTTAAACATGTATTACTAAAACTAAACGTTATATAATAATGAATATATGTAACTAATACTGATAAGAGAGAATAAATATTAATTGAGTAAATAAAGTAAATTTAAGGAGCTGATGCATGATTTAAACAAATATTGCTAATATTAAAACATGAATAATAATGAGCTAACAACTATAGAAGAAAATAAATACTAATTATTTATCTAAAGGAGCAAATGATAGGAATAAATTTAAGCAGATAATGGATGATATATGGAATAGTAAACAAGAAATTATTAATAACAATGTAACAATTATAAAAATGATTAAATGAATTATTACGCTAAATGAGTAAATAATTATTACTTAAAATTAAAACAATAGGTATATGTAATGAAGACTTATAGAAAGAAATAAATATGAAAAAGAAATAAATATGAATTGTTAATCTAAACAAGTTGTTTTTTTGCCAAATAATTTAAATGAGTAACTATGAAGTAAATAAATAATTATCCATTTCAATTATAAAAAGAATACAAGCTCACTATGTGATTAAAAAATATAATATAGAAAACATAAATTACAACTAAAATCACTAACATGTGCGTAAAGTGTGTGTGTAATTTGTCTTTTTTCTTTTTGTCTCTTTCATCCAACACGTGAAAAGGAATATATATATATATATATATATATATTGTTATAGCATAGGGTGTGAAGTTGTATGAAGATAACACATATGAGAGTATCAAAATAATTAACAATAAATATTTAAAAATAATATTTAAAAGAATTTTAATAAAGACAAAACAATACATAGACAAAACAATACACTAATATTATTTACAAAATGTAAACACAATATCTCAGTACAATTAAAAAATAGTGAAAAGATTTTCAAAAAGATCTTATTATATTATCTCTCTTTTCTTTTTAACCCCCTTTCCCTCGATCTCCCACTTCCTCTCGTTTCATCTCTTCTCACATACCAATTGCTATTT